GCATCGAAAGAATAAACATGCTGACAATGTTGTCAGACAAGACATACAATTTCACATACACCATTTAATGATTCCCAATATAATTGGAACATATTTATAATACATTATTAAATAATAAATTACCTGAATGTCAGTTCGACCAGACTGTACATTTGTACTTGGCTGACGGCACTGCTGAGCAGCTCAGGTGATGACAGATGATTGACATCTCGTCATGGTTTTCAAATGTGCTAAAGCACAGCTACAGCAATGTTCATGGGTATCACGTCAGCCGGTGTAATCATTGTCTATGTATCTGATATTAGACGGTTGTGCTGCATTCTTTGTAGCCTGAGTGCAGGCTGCATGTTACAGGTATGTTACACTGTCTGGAACAGAACCTGATTTCCTTTGTGTATTTCCTTTAAAAGCAAATAAAATGATCAGAATGATCAGAATGATGATGAAAATACTGTCAACATGATAAGATAAGTCAAAATATCATACACTTCATATTACTAGTAAGCTTATATTAATAATAAAAACTAATTGTAAATCTACATTTCACCACCATAATACACACCGACTCTCACTTTGGATGTTGCTTTGAAAACACCTCAAAAAGTATATCACAACCCTTGATTTGTCATAATGAAAGACATTTTGACAACATACGTCTAATATATAGATTGCAAGGTCTTGAATTTCGCGATYTATTTTTAATTTCCACAACAAAAAGATTAAGCTTACTTAAATAAACAACATTTGAAACTCGCGCCATTACTATACCTCAAACATGCAATTCTTTCGGTTTTTCTTACCTTTTTTGGCTTCAAAACGTCCATAAATCGTTTACATACATTTTAATGACCGCATAAGGCCTTCTTTTAGCTTTTAAAGCTGTAAAATACAGCATTTTTGCAGCACTTTCCGCCATGTTTTCTTGTTTCCACGTGTTGGACGTGGTATTCTAGTCACGTGATCGGAGCCTGGTCACTACTCCCGACAAGTCCCGAGGGTTGTCCCGCAACAAGCGGCCATTTTTTATATGAAACAAATTCTAAAATGAATTATTGAAATGATCATATTGCAGACAATCTTTGTTTTATGCGTGTAGGAAGCGTTTGTTGGTCTCCAGTTCATCAATTTTCCTCTTTGAGTGGAACTTAACATCATAATTCTTGGTTAATCAAGGTATCAAGGTTAATCAAGGTTGAAGTAGCGCTTACATCGTAATCATAATTCTTCCTTCAACAAGAGTGGCGGTGAAAACGTTAAAGGCCAACGCCATGCCCAACTACGGAAAATTTTGGGATTATTTTTTCCTCCATACATTTATTCAATTTACCAAAAATCTTTGGGGCGTG